CCCCCGGTGGAGAGGCCCGGGTGACATCTATACCTTCATCCTCCAAGACCCCTCAGCAAGCTCGGGGGGCACATCCCTAAGCCACGTCCACCAGGGTCTGGCACATTCATAAGGAGCGAAGCTGAAGGGCCAGGGCTGGGAGTGTGGCTCAGTGGCAGAGCACCTGCTGGCATGTGGAGTTGGGTCACATCTCCAGCACAGCCAAAAAGAAAGAGGAGGAGGAGGAAAGGAAGGACGGACAGGTAGACAAATCAGAAAACTCACGGATCACTGTTTTTCAAAAAGAAACAATGGTGTTGGTAAGGACACAGGCAAGTCTGGCACACGTGTCCTGGAGGGCGAACTGACACACTCTCCTGAAGAGCAGCAACGTGGGGACCATGGCTCCACACTACAGCCCCAGAGCCCGGAAAAGCATCAGAAGTGTGCACATGGAGGACACACAAAGCCGTCCCTCAGGGTTAAGTGCAAGTGGGCAGGAAGCAGCCCCATGTCCCTCCACGGGCAGGTGACAGGGCTGGTGTCAAGGTGCTTCCTCCCCGGGCTCAGGCTCCTGGCCTGTGACATGGACCCTCAGGCCGGCTGTCACACACAGGCTCCTCCCCACCACCCGCCTGGTCTGAACGGCCCGACTTCCGTTAAGTTGCACAACTCACAAGCCACAGGACGGAGGCTTGTGGAGAACAAACTGCCCACGCTGACCTGTCCTGCGGGCGCCAGTATGAAGCTCTACAAATACCACAGCCACAGAAGCGTCAGCCAGGAGAACCAGGCATTTCTAGAATTAACCATTCCATGTTTTCCTTTGCCCGATTCCGGATCCTAGAAGGGGCCTCACTCCCTCTAAGGGGTTTGAACTGCCATCTGTTAGAGCGACCAGCCCTTCACTTGGGGCTGCTGCAGCCAGCAGCAAGCCAGCCGGGGAGAGGCGGCCAAGGGAGCCAACGGCGGTGATGACTTCATTGATTAGACAGCTTCAGGAATTCAGGGTCTGCGCGGCCTGGCACTGGGCAGCCAGCAGCTCCTCATAGCCATTTTTCATTAAAAATAAGGAAGAGGAACAGAGAATTACCACCTCCCCAGAAGCCATCTGAAATGGCCTTATTTTGAAATGCGGCTTTACAATGTGGACACATCCTGACCCTCAAGTAACCTCAGCCAGACCGTCAGCAGAGCAGCAGCTCGACCCTAAGAATGTGCAAGCTCACTCTCGGGACGGGGACAGCAACGTCACCTGAGGGCGGAAGAGGGACTTAGAACGCGGGAGGTAAATAGGTACAGCTTTGCCACATGTGCCTGGAGTCACCAGAGAAAACAACTCCCCAGCTGCCCAGGGCCACAGATGCTCCAGAAGGACCAGCCAGAGGAAGGCAGCAGCCGCCCTGACCTGGCAAGAATCCAGAGCCTCACCCCCTCCCACACCTCGGCCCCAGCCTCCAGACCCCAGAGCGCCTCAGCTCTTCCCCAGGGTGTGCAGGGGGACCGGCGGGAGGGCAGCTTCTCATCCCTGGCAGAAAAAACTTAATAAATGCCTTAAAGAAGAAAGGGGGGGGGTCATCCAAGATGGAGCTTTGCAAATACACCCCACAGCCCCGTCCGCACATTCGGTTGCTGCTGTTCTAAATGTTCGCATTTCTAAGCAGTGACAGGTTTCACTGCTGTGGCTGCTGTTTGGGCAATGCTGGGGTTTGCGGGGAGGGCCGGGTTTGGTGGTAAGACTTGAACCCAGGGCCCTGGGCAAGCTAGCACGCCCTCCACCCTGAGCCACACTCCCAGCCCCTAAATGCTGCTTTTCAACTCAGATTGTCACAATGGCTGTCTTCCACTGTATAAGAAAGTACCTTAAGAATTTATTCTCTCTTAAATTCACCTGATGAGTGAGACGAACATTAACACGGTTGCTTACATTTTAAAAAAAGATAAGCCATGAAGTTTGTAAAGACGGCTCCCCATGAGAGACAAGTAGGAACAGAACAGAATCAGGAGCTCAGGAGTCTGACCGCCTTGAACGTGGCTGGTTCTGTGGCTTTGATTTTGGAACTACATAAATATTTTACATAACTAGGAAACAAATTCAAATGCTGCAAAACCAATTCCTTAAAAATTAAAAGTAAACTGAATTCAAAAAAGGATCCACCTGGGGGACCTCTCTCCAGAACAGATGTTCCCTGCAGCCTTAATACGCTATTTTGCTCATCAATCTCCAGAGGGAATGTGCTATAAAGAGAAAGAACTGTCAAGAAGAGACTGTCACCAGCACCAGCCGCCATCTCATCACATTCAGAGATTAGCGGCCACCTCACCAGGGACATCGCAGGGACGCGTGGAGCTAGCGTATACCCTGCTAGCTTCCCTTCCGAGGCATGCTCTGGGACTCAGGGACGTGTGTGAACCACAGGCCTAAGCAGATGATCAGGTCGCTGTTCTGGAGAGCGAGGATTCCTGACCTGGCGGAGGGAAAAGCAGATGGGAGGGGAGAGGAAGCACAGACCACGGCTCGGACTTGCACCGGAAGTCTTAGTACGAAATTTCAGGGTGCATTTTGTGTTTAATCATGTAAATTTTTGAGAGCTTCATTTGAAATGATGCTCAACCCAGAAGCAACGGGAACTACTGACATCCTCGCCATGGTTTCTAGATACGCTTCCCACTAACGGTGAGCAGGGCTCCTTAGGAGGACGGTGATCCAGGCCTCAGGCAGGAAAGGCACAAGGCAGGTCTGGGACACTCTGCCATGACTGGGAGGGAAGAGCCCCTCAGGCACCATGGGAGTCAGGTCAGGAGGACCTGGGTGGCAACCCAAGGAGGTTCCCCCTGGTCCCAGATGAAATAACTGGCACATCAATAGCGTGACAACTAGGCCATCAATAGGGTGACACCAGGCAGCTGGACAGGATGACATCTGGAACAGACTGACACACATCAAATGCATTTAGACCATTTGTCTGTAACGACATGCGTATTTTAAAATCTCACCTGACCTTGGGAGGATGCTAGAGAACTCATTATTTTAAAGACAAATAAATAAAGGAATCTGGCATTTCCAACAGGAACCTCAGGCTAACCAGCAGTAGACTGGAATTCTCCTGCAGAGAAGGATCCCAGAGAAGAACTGAAGAAGGGCCACCCCAGGATGCAAAACCTTCTAGTGACCCTTCATGACCAGGTGGAGCTGGCCCTGGTCATTCACAGCTGCTGACACCAGGAAAGCACAGGGCTGGACGTCCAGAGCCTGCAGCTAGAGAGGAGGTTGCACTAGGTCTGAGCCCGACCTGGGGCAAGGTGCTGAACCCACCGAACACAGCGGTGCAGGAGCAGGGAGCAGGAGCACCACCCTCCAGGCCAGACCCTGGGAAACCACAGGGCGGACAGCCCAGGTTTCCTTCAAAAGTTGAAAGAAAAATAAGAATGGGGGAGGAAGAGGAAGGATAGATGAAGACATTTAAAAACAGCATAAACCAATTGCAATGGAAGGACTTTGTATCCTGATTCAAACAAATCGTGAACAACATAAAACATTTAAAGACAAACAGAGGAATATGATCTTTGATGAGATTAAGGAATTGTTGTTCATTGTTTTTAGATATGATAATGGAATTGTCTATGCTTTTATAAAGAATCCCTAGCTTCAGAGGTAATACTGCGATTTCTAGGTTTTGATTCAAAATAACTTAAGAGGAGAGGATTGGTGGGCGAATAGATTAAACAAGCAGCTAGTAGACTTGGAAGAGGTCCCAACAGACAAGCACGGGACAATCGGAACAATAAAGTAAATAACAGTAGCAACAAGGCGTAACTCATGCAATAAAACATTGTGGGGTCCACGTTGGGTCCCTGGGTCCATGTTGGTATAAACAAAAGGAAGAAAAGGGGAAGCTATCGCTTGTGGTGAATTCCAGTTCATAAAAAGTGCCATTTGGGAAACACCATTCAGGTAAGAATTACCCATGGGTCAGGCGCAGTGGCACACACCTCTTAGCTACTTAGGAGGCTGATGCAGGAGGATCGCAAGTCTGAGGCCAGCCTGGGCAACTTAGGGAGAGCCTATCTCAAAACCCAAAGGCTGGGGATGTGGCTCAGTGGTACAGTGCCTGCCTAGCATGTGCAAGGCCCTGTGTTCAATCCCCGATGCCCTCCCTCATAGACATAAGCAGTGCATGGTACAGCAGGGAGGGAAAGCGTGATTCGGAAGAGGAACCAAGCACTTTCCCACAGGATGCTCATTAAAAGGAACAAACATAACTTCACAGCACAGAGCCTGCGGACACCTCTGTGACCACCTAGCAGAGTTATCATCGCCACAACAGGTTCTGTGCGATCCTGGCCCAAGATGTGTAACTAAAATGAAAATGTGAGGAAACAACAGGAGGACCAAATGCAGGGGACTCTACAGAATGGCTAGCCAGCATGCTTCAAAACCCCACAGCCACGAAAGACAAAGGACAACCAGGGATTGTCACCAGGGGACAGGACTGTAAGTGCAACATGTCCCCAACAACATCAGTGTTCAGGCTGCCGACACTAAGTGTGTTCACAAGGTTGTACGGCCATCTCCATGTTCCAGAGCACTTCATGGCCCCAAAGGAGACCCTGCACCAAAGAGCCCCAGGCCCCAGAGTCATAGACACTTGTTTCTGTGCCTCTGGATGTGCCCGTGCTGGACAGCTCCTGTAAGTGGGATCACACAACAGCTCTGTCCCTCCCTGCCTGGCCCCCTGCACCCACCAGGCTGCTCTAAGACTCTTCACGCTGTAGCGTCTGTCAGTACCTCACTCACCTTAAAAACAGAGGGAAAAAAAGTCTTTTAAGAGAAAGAAGAGATCAAGCAGATCACAGTGAACCTGGCGGGTGGACACGCGGGGGTCACTGCCCCCTACTTGCATGTGTGTTTGAAGTTGCTTGTGTTGATGGACATATGGGAGTTGGCATCATCTTCTCTCTACTTTTGAACGTGTTTAAAATTTCTCACAATAAAATAAAAGAAATCCTTCCGTTCCTACCTGGTGGGCTTCCACTCCCATCGCTTGCAGGGCCGACTTGAAAAACTCGGGAGAAGGTTTCCCCACCACTTCGGCTTCAATCCCGCAGGCATACTGGGAAAGGAGAGAGACGCAGCATGGGTGTGGGTCAAGAACAGGTGCATGCCCATGAAAAGACATGCCAATGTGTCCCTAGGGGTCAGGAGCCTTGACAAGGCAGGACACTGTGGACCTGAGAGTCAGAGATTACAGGCAAGAGAGCCATGACCCTTGTGGTCAGGACACCCAGTGTCGTCCCTGCCACCCACTGAAAGGCCTGCAGCAGCATGAGGCATGTGGCAAAGCCAGGGCCTCCCCCAGGCCAGGAGACCAGGGCTGGCATCTGCTCACTTGGCTGCCACGGAGGGCCTTCCTGGCTTCCTCCTGTGCGCACCTCCAGCTCCACCACAGGCCTCCTGAGAGGTCCACTCCCACCCACTAAGTGTGGGAAGGCAGGAGCGCTGCAGCCCTGAAGCTGACCTGGGGCAGCAGCCAGGGTGAGGGCAGCTCAGGGTTTGTGGGTCAGAGGGACTTGAGGGCCACAGATGGCCTTGTCAACGGGAGGGGAGTATCAGGAAGGAGGTCAGTTCCATCACATCTGAGGTGCGGCTGCTGAGGTCAGGAAGGAGGCCAGTGGTCAGCACAGACACAAAGCCATGAGCAAGAGAGGAGTGCAGCAGAGAGCATGCTGGGAGAGCAGGCAGGGAGGGACTGGAAGAGGGGACAGGGAGGACAGAGTGATGACCAGGTTAGCCCCAGAGGACGGGGAGTGCACAGCTGGAGGCCCCACACAGGAGGGGGACTTTGAAACAGGAAAGGCCACTTATGCATCAAGCCTGGCCCCTTCTCCAGGAAGGTCTGAAGGACGTCAGACGTCCCTGAAGAGGGCTCGGGGCAGAGCCAGGTGGGCACCTCGAGCGCCTTCATGTAGGCTCCGACGTCCAGCATCAGGCCCGAGGTTTCCTTGTAGTAGCGTCTACAAGAGAGCAGAAGGGAGGAGGTGAGCAGAGCCCTGGTTCAGGTCAGCGCCGACGCCGTGCCGAGCCGACTCGTGGGGGCCTGGACAACAGAGCCCAGGGGCCAGCAGCCCTGGAGGTGCCCGCTGAGATCAGGCCTTCAGTCTGGGTAGCCCCTGCCACCAGCCTTGGGACCCATTGCAATGATTAACTGGGGACTCCAGGAGCAGCTGGATCCAGTTGCTGACACAGAGGAAGACAAGTGCCCTGTATTCTGGGAAGCGACAGCAGCACATGGAGCATGTGGCGAACCCGTAATTGCTAATAATTAACCCTAAGTACTGTTGAAGAAGAAAGTGCCATTAGTTCCCCAGCAGCCCGCCGCATCTCCATCAGCAGAGGTCCGGCAAGGGGCCGGGCGCCACAGGCACCAGATGCTCTTGGGAGCCATCGGGAGGCCAAGTCAGCTTGGCCCGCAGGAGAGCTCCTTTCTTAAGACAGGTGCCATGAGGCCAGTGGCTGGGCTGAGCCCTGGTCCTTGACCTGACCTGGCCGCCCATGTCAGACCTGAGCCTCGAGGCACCTGGTCCCAGGTCCATGGAGGACCGAGCAAAGCCATATGGCCATGAAGAGGGGTGAAGGCAGCTCATCCTGCTGCCCTGAAGGACGTACAGAAACCCCAGAGCCGAGAGCGGGATCAGAGCTGTGACTGTGTCCTGCCACCCACCACATCAGTGTCCCTTCTCTTCCCTGCCCTCCAGATTTGGGGACGTTAAACAAGCATGTGTGCAGAAAACCAGAGAGAAGGTGAGCAGCTCACTTCAGGGCCCAAACCCGTCTCTGCTTTCCCACTCGGGTTGCCTAAAGACACACCATCAACACCCAGTGCTGCCTAGGCAGGTTCTGGAGTTCAAAACCACTGACTCCTAGAAACCAAAATCAGAGCCTTTAATACTTCCTTCTTTTTTAACCAAATCTGGGCTGGTTTTATAGGCCAAGAATTTTTCTGTATTTCTTATTCATTCAGGAAAATTGAGCCAACTGTTGGATAAAATTTTTTGGAGGAGCAGTAGATACGAGTATTTAATTTATTCCCACACCCTAGAGACTGCGTTCATTCTCTTTTGTTTCTGACCCAAAGGGCCACAGTGGCCCTGGACAGGCCTGTGTGCTCTACCCCGGGGAAGCTGGCGCCAGGACACGGGGACCAGTGGGAGCAGCAGTCAGATCCGATTTTATGCTTTATTCTCCTGCCGTTTCCGATTATTCAGCACAGCTCCCTTCAAAATGACCACTTGACCTTTCCCAGAAGAGCCATTAACCTTCCATAGTCTGTGGCGTAAACAGCTTAATTTTCTGAAGGCGGCATGACAGAAGAAATTACAAAGCCAATTCCCACTCTCGGTCCAAACAGATGCCAAATGTAAATCACTCCATTCCAGGAGGAGGACACCCTGCCCCGCTCGGCCTCCGCCGCCCTGCCTCCTCCACAGCACACGCCTCATCAGCGGCCACCCCAGCCCATGGCAGCACCTTGACAACAGCCCGTCCTGGGTCTTGGGCCCAGAGCGGCTGACCTCACCTAAAAGCCAATGTTTTCCTTCCCTGACTCAACCCCCCCATGCCCAAGTCAGGGCCCACCAGCTGGAGCCCACCCACCTCTTGCCAAACCCTCCCGCTGCCCAGGCTGTTGCATATTACAAACCCCAGAGCAGAGAGTCCGTTTTTTTCCCAACAACATACTGATTCTGACTACTCCTCATAATCTGGAATTATTAATTTAATAATTATGAGACAATTTTAAAGAAGAAAATTTAACATAAATGAGCCTTGAAGAGCTTCCTAATTACGCGGTGGTCTGGCACAGGGCTGCTGACCAAACCCCCAGGGGGTGTGAAGGCAGGAAACAGAAAAATGACGTGTTGTGCACGCACGAATATGTCACGATGAATCTCATTATTACAGATGACTACAACGCACCACTTAACAAAACCCACCCAGGCTGGGGCTGGGGCCCAGCAGTGGAGCGCTCGCCGGGCATGTGTGAGGCCCTGGGTTTGATCCTCAGCACCACATAAAAATCAAGAAACAAAATAAAGGTGTTGTGTCCAACTACCACTAAGGGGGGAAAAAAAACCACCCAAGGGCTCAGCCCAGCCCCGGTCAGTGAGCTAAGCAGGCCAGGGCTGGGCTGACCTCCCAGCAGGGTCGGAAACTGCAGAGGGTGAGAAGGGAACGTCCACGTGGCTGGGTCACGGTGACCACAGCTCATCAAACATGACTTGGGTGTTTCTGTGGAGGTGTTTCTGGATTTACATGGTAGAGTCTGAGTAAAGCAGGGCACCCTCCGTGACGTGGGGAGCCGAACCCCATCAGGTGAAGGCTCTCACCCAGCGGACTGCCCCCCCCCCCCCGAGTCAGAGCCAGCAGACTGAACTCTAAAATCTCTTAAAATCTCCAACTTTTAAACCCAGGCCCCCAAACACTTTGAGATCTTGTAAGGATCCAACATCTGCTCTAGAACACGGCCTAGAGGTGGGAGGCACGAGCCCTGGGGTTGACCAGGCCAGGGGCACTCCTGGCCCTACCAGCAGCCACCAGGTCAGGGCTCACGTCACCTCCGTGTGCCTCTGTGCCCCCACCTGCCCGATGGTGCACTGCCCACAGCTCCAGGGCTGCGGTCAGAACTGAACGACATGGACTAAGTCCAGCGCTTGGCGATGGCCAACGGCTGAGCAGAGGTCTCTTCCTTGTCCTCTCAAGCAGCTGGCCCTGTTCAGCAGGCAGATGCCATGAGACCAGTCACAGCAGGACCACACTGGACACGGCTCCTCAGAGAAAGCTGCGGATCTGCCTGAGCAGTTGGGGGAGGGCCCCAATGTGTCCTTGTGACCGCGACAGGCCGTGATCCTAAACCTCTAGGTGTTTCTCTTGCAACAGGATGAACCTGCATGGCTTCTGAAAAGCAGCTGGGCAACGTGCATCAGGACCCAGAGAGGCCCACCGGGACCCTCTGAGGACACGACTCGGGTGCACGGAGAAAGAGCCCCCGCAGGGACCAGGGAAAACAGCCACACAACGGGGACCTGTCACAGAGACAGCCCCTCTTCATGTGCAAAGCCACCCACAAGACACGGCCTGGTGAACATAAAATGAGGTGACAAAACAAGGTCCGGCTGGACACCACAGGGTGAAGAGGCCCTCCGTGAGGACCCTGGGAGAGGGACACCAGGGCTGAATTCTGGGGCAGTGGAGGGAAAGACGTCTTGTCTTCCCTTCTGCTCTGTATTTTCTAATTCTTCTGTGATGTCCGTGTGCGATCCTGGCGGTCAGCAAGGGTGTGAAGAACATGAGCAGGGCTGTTTCTGTAAGGAAAGGGATGGCGCTGTGGTGTGGCTCTCAAGTGTCCCCTAGTGGGCCAGGCAGTGGGCACCCAGCTGTTGGGGATGGTGGGATCTTTAGGAGCTGGGGCCTAGGTCACTGGGGTGTGTGCTTGGGGACATTGGGACCCCCACCCTGTCCTCCTTCTCTGTGAGGTGAACAGGTTTCCTCCGCCACATGCTTCCGCCAAGATCTCTGCCTCACACAGGCCGAAAGCAATGTGACCCAGTGGCCATGGACTGCAACCTCTGAAACTGTGGATCAAAATAACCCTTTTTCTTTTTAAATCGATTTATCTCAGATATGTGTCACAGCAACAGAAAGATGACTAACACAAAGGGTCAGGCACATGCAGGAGGCTCAGACTAAGGGCTGCTCATAAAATTACTGCTTTACAGAGATGATGCTCTGGAACCACAGACACTGAGTGCCCAGACCAGATTATCCCCAGGCCCTCAAGCCAATTGGTCACTACTTAGGTGTCCCTGGGGACTGGTCTTCACACTTTGGCTATATCCTGCCCACTGCACAACCTTCTTCATTACTCCAAACTTGGGAGGGTCAACATTTGGCCTCTGAGATCTCTGCAGGGTCTCCATCCACCCTGAGCCCGGCCTCTCCTAGCTGGGAGTCCACACAGATGCTTGATCACCCAGCTCCAGAGGACAGGGCACTCTGGTTTCCTAAACAATCACTGAAGAAGAGGAAGGAAGAAATGAGGAGGAAAGGCGGGGGGAGGGGGGGAGCAGGCCGCCTGCGCTCCCTCCACACACACACACACACACACCCGCCTGCTTCCTCCTTGATTCTCTCAGAGAACCACCAAGCACGTCCAGGGGAGCCAGAAGCGACTGTCTCCGGGGCTGACTCACCCCTTTCCCAGGGATATGAGCACGGGATTCTCCAGCTCCATGAGAGTCTGGAAGGCCTTGTTCATGTTCTGGTAAGAAAAGCTCTCCCCGGCGTCTGCCAGCACCACGCAGTTTGGGTTGGACTGGTCAATCTGGCCAAACTCTGAGCGGACTCCTGGAGAAAGATAAAGAGATCATGACCCAACCCAAAACGACGCGGCCTCCCCCGGTCACCCAGGCGCCTGTCACATGTGCCCTTCTCAGAGGCTCTCCGTCCTGTTTTCTCTCTTTTATTAAATTGATGATTTCTAACGGGCACTGCTCCTGCTCCTGTGTGACCCTCACCGCTACCATGGGGGATGGACAAGGAAGGGGTGTTATTCTCCCCTAGTTAGAGAGCTTATGAGGAGAAAGACGGAGCTCTCCTGGACCCTCAACCCCACACTGGCACCAGCCCCAGGAGCTCCCCCACTTCAGCACAGCAGGAGGAAGCCCAGAGCTTCCAAGAGGGGAACCTGCAGAGGTGGGCCCTGGCAGGAGGACAGGCTGGGCTGCTTGCAGTCTGAGCACTGGCACCGCTGGCCTCACCCTGGAAGAGCCCTGGTCACTTCAGGCGAACACACACATATAGGTCCTGCCAGCCCCCACCCCCACCCCCGCCAGGAAGGACTTTCCTTCTTTTACTCCCCCGTTTTCAGCTGAAATAGGGAAAACTGGAAGCCTAATACGGGAAACCGCCCAGTATCCACCAACATGGGGATGGACAGACTCACCGTGGCCACTCACTCAGTGGACTACGACCCTGCACTAAAACAGAGAACAGCCCGTACATGATGTAAATAAAATGTGGAGTCTCAAAAATGTTTTGGTGAAGAAAATTCTGTGAAAATTTTGAGAAATCTGTGAAAGTTTTGGCAAAAATGTTTTGCATAAGGAGCCTCTTGCAAAAGACTACTGTGGGGGTTGTGGGGTTGTGGTCAGGGGCAGAGCGCTTGCCTAGCAGGCGTGAGGCACTGGGTTCGATCCAGCACCACATAAAAACAGATAAATAAAAGGACTGTGTCCATCTACAACTCAACAAATATTAAAAAAAAAAAAAGACCATTGTGAAAGCGAGGGCTGGCTCAGCAGGCCTGGCCCGCCACACCCTGCACGTCCCAGGAGTGGCCTGTCTTCAGGACTGACCCTCCCCCGGCTCCAAGCAGCGAAGTGCTGGGCCCCTGTGAAGCTGCCTGATAAGAGGGGTCCTCATGCCTGAGGCCTGGCCCACACTGTGTCAGTTTGCCCTCGGGACTGGTGGCCCCGCACACTCCCATCACTGACCGCAGACAGCAGTGCTGGGCACCTGGGCTCCAGGGCTCTTCCTGCTTGCCAACACTTCACATGTGTCACTTGTCATATCAGAGTGCCACTCCAGGGACAAGGGGAATCTCACACCTGGTCTCCCACAGCCTCTGCCCCAGGCACCTCCCTGCCTGCGGGTTGTCTGCCTTCTTTCACTAAATAACCCCAAGCACCAGCGTCACCGCTGCTGTGAGTCCTCCTAGGGAGACTCCCGGGCTGGGCTGGTCTTGTGGGACCCCCGACATAACTGCACTCAGTTTGGCTCTATTTATAGGAAATTCTAGGATAAGTACACTTGTTTATAATGGGAAATAACAAAATAATGGGCAGGCACTGGGGACTGACTGGGAAAGGCATGGGGACTTTCAGGTGATGGTGACGTTATAGATGTGTGTGTGTGTGTGTGTGTGTGTGTGTGTGTGTGTGTGTGTGTGCTGGGCATTGAGCACAGGATGCTCTACCACGGAGCTACATCCCCTAGCCTCTTTATTTTTTTATTTTGAGACAGGGTCTCTAAGCTGCCCAGGGTGGCTTGGAACTTGCAATCCTCCTGCCTCAGCCTCTCAAGTAGCTGGGATTGCAAGCATGCGTCCCCATGCCCTGCAGTGTTGGAGACACCGGGACACAAAGGTACATGCACTTGTTGAAAGAGCACAAGTCTACCTGAGGTTTGAGTTTTTCCTTGTATGTGAATTTTACATCAACAGAAAAGCCACAAATAAATACTGAATGCTAGTTAATAATAGATTGAAGCACTTCGGGGAACTTTACCAATGTCTGCCATTTACTTGGAAATGACTTCAAAATATAACACAGAGAGTGAACGGAGGGATGTACAGACACACAGGGAAGAGTCACTGACAAAATCTAGCAGATGGGTATAAAAATAGTTGCAGTAAAATTCTTTGAGCTTTACTAAATATTTGAAAGTTTCCATAGTAAAACATTGGGGGGAAATCCATCATCAATAATACTTGAATTTAAAAAAAAATCCCAGTTTGAAGACGCAGCTATGCGCAGGGGAAACAGGCAGGACGCCCCCTCCAGCCTGCTCCGGCTCCACTCCCTGCTCCTCCCAATGCTCAGCCTCGCTCAGCGCCGCCATCGAGGCAAAGGCTGTATTCCCCTCTGCTCCTGCCACCTCCACGCCCACCCCCATGTCCAGAAGCCCTTTTCTGGGGTCCAGGGAGACAGAATTTCTTCAGTCTCCTTTCTTTGAGGACCAAGTTCTAAAGACTCTGGCAGGGATCCTAGTTTCCAGAGAAAGGACTCCAAGGGACAGGATTTCTAAAAGGCTGGGCAGACGGCCCTTCCTTGAGCTATGAATTCAACCCTTGGGCCTTCCGGGGCCCCCCTGCACCTCTGAGAGCCCCCACTCCTGCCTTGGGAAGGAGAAAAGCAGCTTGTCTCTGCCCAGTGGTTTGTAGAAATCAAAACCAAGTCCAAAGGAAGCAAGGAAGCGCACTCCGTGGAGGAGAGAGGTGTCTTGAATTCCAGGGCCCTGCCACTATCTCGGCTTTTTAAGTATTCAGAAGGCACCAGATCATATTGCTCCTTGGCTTTGTCCCCAAAACTTCCCGCAATGAGGGTCAAAGGGGCTCTGTCTTGCATTCAGACTGAAATCAGGATGCAAACCCTGTTCCTCCAGCCATCCACAAGTGGCACCAAAGAGCAGACTGGCCGTGGCAGACACGGTCCAGGGCCGTGGGTGCCGTACTCCAGAAAGCTGCACCCAGCTCTCTGTTGTCCCTGGTCAACTCCCCGGCCCCTTGGACCAATCTAGATCCAGGGATGCCAGTTCCTTCCAGAACTATCTGGAGTGACCTCAAGTGACCCTCTGCCAACGGGGGATGGATGGGCCCTGGTCCTAACTTACCCCCATGAGGTCTCCGCTCCACTGGCCCATGAGTGTCATGGCAGGAACCAGTAGTTAGCTCTGGGCCCCTCCCTTGGCATGGCCCAGGTGAGCCTGAGGACCCTCTCCCCAGCCCTCACCCTGCCAAGAGGACACCTTCCCGACCCCCAGAAGGTCCCAGGGTCCAGCAGGCCTACCGTCGTGGACGAGCAGGTGAGGGCGCAGGCCTCGCTCCTTCAGGACCTGACAGGTGGCGGGTGCCGGGGCAGTCACCTCCTCCTGGGAGATGTCAAATCCCAGTCGCCGAAGCAGTGCCACCAGCTCTCCCCGGGACTTCTGCGACTCGTTGGTGCAGAATCTCACCTTCAGCCGGGACCGCTTCAGTCTGTGGTGAAGGAAATGACAGGCAAGGGTGGTGTCAGAAGGTGCAGGGTGGCCTCCTGGGAAGAAACCCAGAGATGGACACTTCTCCAAGGGTAACTGACAAAGTCCCCAAACAGACCAGGTCACTGTGGGACCAGGGGTGGTCCTGGCTAAGCCCAGGTGTGCTCAGGTTGAGATTTGTGACCTGGAGCAGCCCCTCACGGGGCACCTCAGACATGGCCCGCTGTCTCCTGCTCACCCTCACTGGACTTGATATGCCCGAGACGCCCCAGGGCTCCCCTTTCTCTTCCTGTACCTCTCCCTGTACCTGGGCCACGCTGCACCCCTTGACCTAGGACACATCTCCGCACCTTGACCTGGGTCTCACGCCTCTGCACCTGTGCTAATTCTATCCCCGATCCCACTCAGCACTTCCCCTCGGCCTGGCCGGAGGCCACCTGGGAATGGCAGAGCTATTTCTCTGTGCCTTTCCACAGAGCATTTCCACCTGGCCTCTGAGTTCTGTACATCCGGCCTTATTGTCTTTGGGTCCACATTTCCCCAAAAGGGCAAAGGCAGAGGGCCTGGGTGGAGGTTTGTCTCCTCATGGCTGTCAGTGAGGAGGGGTGACCCGACACAATCACCAGAGCAATGGATGGCTCCAGCTGGACAGACAGGAGCGTGGCCCGAGCAAACCCAGCACCAAGGAAGTGCGCCCCGAGTCTCCACCAATGGCAGAGCACCGCCATCCTTCCCGATGGCCACCACAGCAACCCTGCTGCGTTCCGGCTGCACGTGGCCAAGTCCTCCAGAGGCAAAGCCACAGGCAGATTACTAGAGGCTCCTAATGAAATGCCATCCAACCCTCCTACACACAAGCACTTACCAAGTGCTTCCTGAGGGCCTACTAAGTGCTGCACATTGGGCTGCAGCTGTACACAAGGCAAGGTCCCTTCTCCAGGGTGGGTGGGAGGCTGGCAGTAATTGGGGTAGGGCAGGGTGGGGGGCCACAGGGGATGGGCAATTCCCATCTGGGGCAGGAAGGCCAGAGGAGGCCTCCCTGGGGTTGACACCTGTGGGAAGGCAAGACGCCAGCCACGAGGTGGAGAGGCCGCCCTGCACAGGGAAGATGGACACTGGGAGACGACCCATGGGAGGCCCATCTGCCTAAGGAGACGGGGTGGAGAGGCTGGTCTCCCTCAGCAAGGGACCAGCGCGCAGGAGGAGGCGGCACACACAGGCAGCGCGGGCCTGAGAGGGTGTAGCCTGCCCTGCTCTGGCTCCCCGGCCCAGATCACACTGTCCTGGACAAGCCGGGGCCCCGCCCTCCAGCCACAGGGAGAAGTCATATCGGGCATCTGCTCAGAGTCACAGTGTAGAGTCACATGAAGGACCCAGGGCTGCAATTCTCAAGTTCAGAAAGGCACTTTTTAAGAAACCCTAGCAAAGTGGGCGTGGCGGTGCACACCCGCAATCCCTGCAACTTGGGAGGCTGAAGCAGGAGGATCACAAGTTTGAGGTGCACCTCAGCAACTTAGACTCTATCTCAATTAAAAAATTAAAAGGGCTGGGATGAAACTTAGTGGTAGGGTGCCCTGGGTTCAATCCTAGTACTACAAACAACAACAACAGCAACAAAAACCCTAGAAAAATTAGCTGGATCTGCTAATGGTCACTTGGCCCTGATCTCAGTCGGGTCCCTAAACATCCATCTCACTGGTCTCTAAAAACTCTTGATTCCTCACAGAGCCTTCCCAGCTGTATATATTAATACAGTGTTAAGTGCATAATTACAATTTGTTAATAAATGTACATCTAGAGAAGGAATGTGCTCAAGTTCTGATTTTGCAGATGTAGCTCCAGTCAAAGGAGTTCAGAGGTCACACATGGATTGGACCCAGTTCTTGGAAATGTGGCTTGAGATCAACTGGCCGTGGACAAGCGAGACCCCAAGAGCCACTCAACCCTGGGGGAGGCTGGCAAGTGAGGAAGCTGGGTCCCAGGCAGGTCTAGGGCTTACTGTTCCTCTCTTGACTCTGGGGATACAGGCGATTCTCTCTTTAATCCCACAGGGATCCTAGGACGCGTGGACGGGGACCAGGAAATGGGTGCTCCCAGAGCCCTCCCACGGGGGTAGAAAGCTCGTGTTCCCTGGGAGGACTTGGAGGAGAGTCCTGGAAGACCAGGCCAAGGATGGCCTGCAGGCCGAGGGAGGAGGAGAGCCAGCCGCGGGCAGGCAAGTGTGCCCCAGCGCTCAGGGGGGCACAGAAGGAAGGGGTGCTGGGGAGGGAGGCCAGAGTGGAGGACCACTGAGAAGACAGGGGAGGGGGGCTCCAAAGACAACCCTGTTGGCAGTGACAGCAAGTGGCAAGAGTGGCAGGCCTTGGCCCAGTGTCCCCTGTTGTCCCACCCCACCACCTCTAGCATCGTGCCCTTTTCTCTATCACATCGACGTCTCCACTCGTCCAATTTATCTGCTTGTTCTTTGTCCTTCTCCATGACCTACAGGCTCCACAGGCTCGAGACAAGGACCGCTCTGCTCTCTGCAGCTAGCTCAGGGCCAGCCCACAGCAGGCCCTCCACTCCCCCACCTCCGGGCTTCTCCTGTAAGGAGAGGCCCGACAGAGGCAGGCCGGCTGCAGGGCACCTCCAGACCCTCTCAGCTGGCGGCCAGGGCAAGCTGGGCAGAAATCTGCACAGTGGAGACGCCAACCCCGCCGTCTTCCCCGCTCAGGTGACTCGTTCCTTTCTTACTATTTGCCTTTCCTAATCAGGGGTTTATGAATGATCAATTACACTCAGTGGTTAATTGCCCTTCATAAAGCTAGCTTTTTATTTTTAAATTAGGCAGTTAATATATTGAAACTAATAGCATCACCTTGTACACTGTGGATAGATCTTCATTGATTGGCGCCTGGAATGTGTGATTCACACCCAAGTTAATGGAGCAGTTGAGGGAAGAAGTGCAGGGGGTCCCAGGGGACCAATTACTCCTAATGAATGATGATGTGACCTTCTCAGAACAGTGAGCAATCGGTGTGACAGTGAGATGGCAGCACCTCACATCTGTCACTCCACACACAACTTCAGATGTGGTTGGGAGGGAGCTCAACTCACTCTGGGACCCTCACGCCCAGGACTCCTTGGAAACAGCAACGTAAGTTTGTCTGAAATTCACACTTTCTAAATCAAAGCACAAGTTTTATTGGAGTTGCATCTGTCCTAAAGAATCCAGTGGGAGACACGTAAGCACTGCCTTCCCCCAGAGTCCTGTCCATTTGTGCCACCATGTCCTCTTCTGATGTGTCACCATGGGTTCTGTCTGGCCACCTGGGACCAGTCCTAGGTGGACTCTTCATTATTTTAAATTACTAAAATTAATAAAAGTAGTCACCATGATTGTGAAGACGGTGACATGAACACAACCCTGCAGGGGCTCAGGGGCAGAGGTGGTTTGCTGTCCCTCACACTCATGCCCAGGCCCAGGCACCTGGCTTGCAGGCGCCCACACTAAGCAGCCATGCGGCGAGGAAAGGGGCCTGGGCGGGGACAACCACCCCTCCCTCCAGAGAAGAAAACACAGAGGCGCTGGGGCCGAGCTGACCCAGGTCACCCAGCCTGTGGAGACAAAGCCGTGAGCCCCCAGGGTCTGTGGTGGCAGGCATGGGCCCTTGCCCAGGAGGGCAAGACCACCAGGACCCTCAGGTGGAAGCCCAGTGCCCTGGGAGGGACCCTGCAGGCCCAGCTCTGCCGCAGGTGTCCTAAAGCCCGGAGAGAGTGCCTCAGCTGCCCCCATGTGTGCACGAGGGACAGCACCAAAGTGAGGCCCTGAGTGGCTTATGCCGTGGACTAAATGTGTCCCACAAAATCCACGTGCTGAAGCCCTGACCCTCGATGTGGCTGTCGGGAGCCAGTGCCTAGGAGGACGAGGGTGTGGTCCAGGTGACGCCGAATCAGGAGTGGCGCCCTGATGTGACAGGACCGCTGTCCTCATGAGAGAGGCCCCTGAGAGCCCTGTGCACTTCCTCTTGCTCTCTCCTGGGGACACAGGAGGCCCTGGCCAGAAAGCAGCCCTGCTGACTCCCTGGGCCGGGACTTGCAGCCCCCAGAACTGTGGAGAAACAAGCGTGTGACGTTGAAGCCACCCTTGCGGACAGTGGGGTCCAGCGGGCTGCCCGAGCAGGCCGACAGACAAGGAGCCCCGCAGGGAAGGCCAGGCCTGGCCCAGCTCCCAGAGAGTGGAAGGGCAGTCTCTGCAAAGAGGAACTGCGGCTGCAGCAGGCCAGCTCCAGGCGGGCTACTGTCCCCAACCCCAGTGCCAAGAACCTGGGAGAAAAGGAGCCTCCTGCAGGGTCCTGGCTGCCCAGATGGCCCTTCCAAGGCCCTGGCTGCTGCCCTGGCGCACTGACCCCAGGGGCTCCTGGGGGTGGGCACCGCCCCACTTTCTGGTCCAAACTGGATCTTTGAACTGACCTTTACCTCATCCTAGCAGGCCAGGACGCGCCTCTGAGTGACAACGTCGCCTGGTGCAATTACCGAGCTTCAGATGAGGCAGTCCTTTACAAATCACCTCGGACTTTACACATCTGCTGGCTGTCGGCATCTGCCAGGAGCGCTCACCCGAAAATAATGAAAACCCTCTCATTATCGTTCCGTGGCAGGTAAAGTGTTAGGACAATTATTGGACATCCTGAGTGACCTTGGGACGGCTCAACAGCCTGCCCTCTCCAGCTTGCCGAGGACGGAAGCCAGGGGCTCTACCTGGAGGGCAAAGGGGAGGCTGGGTGGGGGTGAGGAGGCTGCCAGGGACAGAACCACCCAGGCCCTCCCCCGGGCCCCCTCCTCCCCACCCTGCCCTGGATTTGTCACTTCCGTCCAACCCGAGGCCCAGAGTCAAATCCTGCTTTCCCTCAAGGCCTGGAATGAGATCTTCCCCAGGAACTCTGACCCCGCCTTGCCCCGACAGAGTCCACCCACCTCCAGCTCCTCGGCTGTAGGTGTCCCCACGACTTCCACCAGCTC